TTTTATTTTATTAATCAAAGTTTAATTCAGTTATATTCATGAAAACAATTATTAATATTAACATAACCCTCATTCTGACAATAATTTATTCTACAAGCCGCAAGCTTTTATTCCCTGTTATACCCTTCTTTTGTTATAAAGTCATTGTGATTTAAACGTAATTTTTTGTAGTCTATTTTTTACCCTGATCCCCAGTTTTGGACATAATTGTATTTTTCTAATTGTTTATGCATTGTGTTCATGTTAGTCATCTATATTATTCAAATATCATTTTATATTGATTCTGAATCGGAGTGTGAATCGGAATCGGGAATAAATCCAGTAGTGTCCCAGTTGACTCGTTTTCTCTCTTGCGCGCGCTTGTCAACCAATCAGGTGGTAGAATAGTTTTCGTCTCTCTAGCCGAAGTAGTTAGTCTCATTTTGAGCTCACGTGATTCTAGCCATAAGGTTGAGCCAATCAGCCCATACTGTCAAGGCCTTAATCTAGATTGAAACAAGTTATCTTCTGTATTCTGTTATGTAGACAGATCAAGGACCTAACAATAAACTAATCGGTGAAGAGACGTTCATCATGCTAATGTTTGCTTTCCTTAAAAATGAAAATCAATCGAAATGTATTATCATTGTTAATTAAAGCAAAAAATCCTTTATGTAAATAAGCTTTAATAGTTGTATAAAACATTCCTAATTACCAATGATAAATATCATTAGATTTCTGCTTGAATGAGTTTTTCATTAAACAAGTTGGAGAAGAGTCATGATAAAGTACATGAGTTATGCAATGAATATATTAAGCGAAAGAAGTAGTAATTTCTAAAAGGTTGGTGCTTGTGAAGAGTAGAAATACATCACAGCCTATCTTTTTATACCATCTTTACTAAAAGATATTTGATACTATGTTGGCTGAACTTATTTAAATCAATTTTAATATGTGTACTGCAAAGCTATTTAAACCTTATCGTTAACATGCAACTGAATAGTTTCACAAATATTAGATGTGAATTAAAAAGATAATAATAATAATAAATTAATATTTTAATAGTTCAGATCGCGAAATGATCTTAGACAGCACATCACTGAAAACCTGGAAGCATTGAAGGACCACTTTTTTCTAGTATGGAACTCCTGAGCAGAGTGCGTTTACAACTCCACATCTGGGATTCGAACCTAGGAGCTTCGGTCTCCTCCTCGAAAAAACAGCATACATAATTGTGGCTGTAAATGTTCTGTATTTTTTTTTGAAGTGGAATTATTCGAAAGTCTAGCCTAGTGGTGTGATCACAATCTCTTCACAAAAGTCTTATCTAGCTATATGAAAGCCTGTTATTCCTTGTTTTAGTTGTCTCTTGATTTTCGTTGAAAAAGAATACCAATATATTACACATATTGAGCACTCTATATGTGCGCATAGTGGTCATCTCGATACTGATGCACATTAACCAATAAGTGCACAGAAAGACTCGTATTGTACGTTCACATAGATCTACCTGGCAAATTTATCATGTTTGAAGTCAATGCAGTCGGAATCCCATTTTTACCAGTAACATGAATGGACGTTGTTAGGTCGATTTAATTTTATTCACGTTTCGTTGTAAGTCAGTGTACTTTAGTTAGATTTTACACTTTTTGTGATATTTGCATACATTATTTAGATCTTTTATCATTTTTAACTATAAATTAATTGAAAATCTAATTGTTTATAAATATCAAATAGTTGGTTTACTATGAAACCTTTAATAGAACAAAAGGAACAATTAAAGCGAAATAATATGAATTCATTTCCTGTGGTTTAGTTATATTTAATCCTTATAGGTTTTTGTGGATCGAAAAAATGGTTTGAATGGATTAAGGATTAATAAAACGAATATTGAGTAATCAAACTGGTGAAAACTATTTATCAAAGGGTTACTGTTCCTATATGTACACGATAAACAGAATCTGGAAAACTCAAAACATCAGAGTAAGATGGAAACTGTCTAAAGGGAAAACAACAATACACAATTAGTTCATAGTGTTCTGTAAACATAAGCATCATAGCTCTGTTCAGTTTCATAAAAAGAAATAACTTGATAATTTATTTCCGATCCATTTCAGACTTGTTCTAGATCCATATGGATATTTTATGAAAGGAATATTCTACATGCTACACACATCCATTGATAATAAATATTCTTTTCTAACAAGATGAACCAAGTCAAAAACGTCTACCCAATATATATTTATACAATACAAAGGTCGGAAGCAAACTATTTTGTCAAACAATCACAACACATTTAAATTCTCAACGCAAAACTTATTTGCTTTATCATATCTTTTTAAGCTTATTAGATTCAAAACTTATTCAAGCAGGGATATTTATACTTAGTACCTGTCCTTGATGCATAATTGTGGTTTACGCCCACTCACTAAAGTGTTAGTAAATTTTATAATAGATATGATCTTGATAATTACTAATTTTCAGTTAGGTGATCGGAAAAATGAAGTTCGTTTACATTGAAATTATGTTGACGTTAGAAACAAATTATTAAAATTCACTGCCGTGATAACTCCAGGATTATTTGATGAATGTAAACCTTGATTATCTCTTGGCCATCCCTATGCGTGCCGATGCTGGACGATAAAAGTATATCAACTGTGCTTAAAAATTAACCATTTTAGGAATTCGTGCTTTCGGTAGTACTGAAAGAGTCTAAAAAACACCAAGCATAAATATTATATTTGATTGTATCTAACAGTTTAACTAAATCTAGAACTCATTTTAGGATAAACCAGGACCCTCCAAAAATGGTCTTATGTCTGACTTCAAACTAAATGCTGATACTGATCTAAACTTCTGATCGTAGTGCTATAAGCTACCGATTTCATAGTCATCCGTTATCCATTACTTGATGTCCTGTAATGAAATTTTGGAATTTCTTCTCAGCATTGGGTACAGCTGGTTTTGTAAATAAGCATTGTGAAATTATAGATAATTTTACAAAAATTCTAATGCCTACTGAAATCCTATATTTGATTTGTACATTGATTAAGAAATATAATTTGTGCACTGTTGAAAAGCTTGAACTAAAAACGAACATTTGTTATGGCTTTTGATCTAAATGATATCAAGTTGTAAGTTAGAAATCTCAAAGGACTAGTTATTTTACAATCACTTGAGAATCAAATTAGTCTGTTGGTCAAATGAACATATATAAGAATAATGATAAACACATTATTCATGACATCGTTTTTGTTACAAATCGAAAATTGGGCCTTTTATTCTGCTTAATTTAAATAAAGCAATATGAGTTATGTAACACCTTGTCTTCGGTTGGTTGAAAACATACTCTCCATGAAGATTTAGTGGATACCAGGCGTGAATGGATGCTAGATTATGTAAGCGTGAGAGAATATCTTTTTTCAAACCAGAGAATGATAAAGAAGACTGATCTAGGAGTCAATTAGTGTAATTAAATGAAAAAAGTCAATCATTCAGTGTGATGTCATTTATCAAAATATAGTAATAAATTTACTATTTTATTAAATATCAGACAGAACCATGACTTTTTACAAATCTCATTCCTTGTTGTTGATAAAAATAATCTCAACTTAGCTGTTAGATTGTTGTTATACATATCAAACCAGATAGTACGATATTTTGAATTGCTAGTTAACTAGAAGTAGGAATGCTAGTCAACAAAATCAGATCCGGTAATGTATCTACTTCAACGACTATACATATTGACGACCAGTGTCTGTGACAGACTTCAAAGGAGAAAAATGGATGTTATACAAAGAAGAAACTATACTATACTTTCCGTTTATTTAATTTACGATAACTTCCATCCTAAAATATGAAACACACACAATGAAGAACGAAACTTTTTTTTAATAAGCATTTTCTACTTAACTAGAAATAAATAAAGTATACTGGATCGATGAGTGATATCATATATATATATATATATATATATATATATATATATATATATATATATATATATATATATATATGCACATTTTGTATAGATAAGTAAATAAAAATACAACTTCCTACATATAAATACAAGTACTGTTAAGATATACAAGAGTAAGCACACTATCTCAAGCAACAAAAAACAACTCCATATATGAACATTTTTCCAATAAACATTTCAATAAATCGAAATAGCTGTTGATTGAAAATAATAAAATAAATCTCGAAAATTAGAAAATAGAATCAACAGCATTTAAATAAACGAAAGAACAACGTATACAATTGATGGATTCACTTTTATTTCACACATAGTCACACATGTACACGCATACATAGTTGTTCCAATTTCGGAAAAATGAACGCGAGTGTTACACATTCAAAAACGTCATAATTACTACCCAACACATATATAAAATGAGATCAAGCAATTGTTAAAATAAAGAAATATGATGAATAATAGTAATAATAATAATATCTATATGCATACATAAGTCAGTATTTATTTTTTCAAGAATAAACGTATTCAATAAATGAAATGATAATTCGAAAAATTAATAACAAAAAAAGAAGAAAAACGATTGGTTTTTTTTAAAAAATGTTTGCTGAAAAATCAAACAGTAATAAAATATATCAAGGTTAAGATGATATATAATATTAATTACAAATGATAGGAAAAATGATAAATGATGATGAGGTAATAAGTGTCAGCGTTGAAGACTAATCAATTCGAGTTTATGTATAAATATACTTTACTTTTCAAATGTTGCACTGCTGATAACGATGAAAACAACACGAAAAAGTATAACATGCAATTTACATTTTACTACACAATTAAGTTTTAATGACAGCAGAAATAGTTCACTATATGACTATATGTTGTATGTATGTACATAATGAGGGTGCAATAAACATGTGGGATATTTTTCTTGAAAAAAGAACAATTTAAACATTGAAAGACAATAGTTATGAATTAGTTAGATAATTTTGTCCATTGTTTTTCTAAGAAAAATCATGATTAAAATGTAAATAATAAAGTCGATATTCTATGATTCCTTGTAAAATGAATTCACTTTCATTGATTCAGACCATTTCAATGGACCATCATTTTCAAACGTAAGATCTAGATTGTATCAAAAAAGTGAATAAAAAGAATAATTGAGTGGAAATATATGCAGTGTGTAAATATCTAATTAAACATTAGTAGCAATATATGGAATTTCTTCATTAGGTGTTAACCGCATTTTCGTACAACGTTAAATCCTATACGACACAGAGAAAGAAATAGACAGTCGATAATGAATTATTAAGGTTCTCAAGCATAAAAATTTCAGCCCATATTGTTGTAAACGAATAGATATTATTTTTTAAACACAAAGAAAAGGTTACAAATGATGGGCTACCAAATCGTTTGCTATGCACAAGTTTCTTGTCCAGCTTCTTATTCAATCAGTTTTTTTAACTATATGAATAATTTTGAAAGTAGATCTTGGCAGAGATGATGTTAAACAATAGAACTACTGGTTGACTTTTATTTACCTCTGGATGAAAAACATGGGCATAACGGAAGCATTTGCAATCCATCGATTCAAACCTGGTCTTCATGTCCAGAAGCAGTGTATTAAATTTCTTAACTTATTATAGTCCTGATATCCCATTTTATGTTATAAGTTATTTTTGGCATGTATTCTCCGCTTCTTTATCTTATATTTTTTTTAAAGTGAACTATTATCTTTAAAAATCTCTCTTCTTATATCTTGTTTTGTGTTTTACTGAAATCGTTTAGTTTAAGCTTATAAATCTTTTTTATTGACAGATAAATAGTAAAAATAAAACGAAACTAAGATCTACAAAAATAATCCACTAATTAATAGCAACTAGATGAATTATTACCTACTGCTCCTAGTTGCTACACTTTAAAAAGTGAATCAGTCAATTCCTATACTAAAACGGTCAATAAATTTAGTGCACTATAATCGATCTACACATTGTAACACTAAAAATTACATTTTCCTGTCGAATTACAGTTAATCTTGTTAGAGGAAACTTTATTAGTCACATCAGATCAAATGAAATTATCTTGAACCGATAACGAGTCACCGGAAATAAAACAATTTATTTGATTCCTTATGTAATGTTATGCACAAAGTTGAGATATTGATCACCAGTTCGGTGGATTTTGGACTTCAAGACAAATAATAAAAAGAAACATATTTGTAGAGAAACATAATATTTATGATGACATCATGAAAACGTGGTTATAGCTAATAGAAATTCAGAGAAAACCTTTAGAAAATAGATAATTATTGTTTAGGTGATACGTTATGAAAAGTAAGATATTTCAGATACAGTCGAGGAAAAATGTCTATGGTTTGTGTGTTTAGGAATGAAAAACGACTGAAATCCTTTTCACTAGATTTTTTTCCTTTAAATAGTTAAGACCAATAACTAATGTCTATGAATTTGTCATAAAAAAGTATAACAAATCACTACAGGCAACTTTATGTACGTCATACTTACAAAACAATTGATTAAACCAGTATTTCAAACCATCTATTCGACAATAAATAATTTAAGAACTCAATTCGTATTAAGGATTTCATATGGCAATATAAAGGGAAGGACGACTTTAAAATATAAAGTATTTGTTTAAAGATCCTTATCATATTAAAAGACTATTATTTGAACGAAGAATATTTTTTTCGATAAATTCCCTTCAGCTCGATGTTGGCCCATTTTGTGCAAACTGGTCATAGTGCCAGTATAAATCAATCGATTTCAACTATTTGTCGGGTCAGTAAGTTTGTGTCAAAGCTTATCAGACTCGAAGTCCTTCAAACGGCTGAAGCAGTAGCCACCCGGATTAAGAAACCTGAGCTGTGTGCACAAAAGACATATCTTCAACCGCTTCTCCTCCCTTGGCCAACCTTAAGGCCAATTAGTCAATAGTAATCTTGGCTATTGGATGACCTAATTTGATTATTGTACTTACGACCTTTCGTAGTCTCTGTTATCTTTATTTACAAGTCTTCGTATTATTATTATTACTGGTTAAACATCATTATTAATCTACTCAATACATGATTCATTTACTTCCCATTCATCCCACCTCATGTCTTGATAGTTTTTAACATAATATAGTCTTTTAATATGACGGGGATCTTTAAACGAATAATATAGTCTTCCACAAAACATTTGATCGAATTTAATTGCACTTTTATTTTTCTTACCCTATTCGACCCATATTTATTCTGATTCAAGTTAACATTCTATATGAGTCATATCAACATTAATAATTTTATTCTATTTTTTTAGTAGTTGAGATCATGAGTCAATTGAAGCTAGACCACCATGGAAAACCTGGAAGCACTGGACAGCCGTCTCGTCCTATTGTGGAACTCCTCAACAGTGCGCATCCACGACCCCGCCTCGCCAGATTCGAACCCAGGACCTATCAGTCTCGTGCGCGAACGTTTAACCTATAGACCACTAAGCCGGCTTCCAACAGTGTTAATGTCTAACTTCAACTAATTCACCAAATTGAGCGACACTTCCAACATTGTCTTCTGTGAGTTACTATCTCACAACAAACCCAGTTGAACTTCACTGGTCACTGCTTCTCACTAGACCTTCAAGAAATACCTCTTGAAGCCAGTCACCAGTGAGTATATGTTGATTAGTATCAGAACGGGTTTTGTGGATATTATAGTGATTTTAATTGTTGAATTCATGAGTCAATTGTGGCTAGACCGCCATGGAAAACCTGGAAACACTGGACGGTCGTTTCGTCCTATTGTGGGACTCCTCAGCAGTCCGCATCCACGATCTAGTGAGAAGCAGTAACCAGTGGAGTTCAACCGGGTTTGTTGTGAGATAGTAACTCACTGACGACAATCGTGGATGTGTCGCATAATTTCATGGATTAGTTGAAGTTATTCTATTTTGTTTGACAATTCTAAATTCACATGCTTTAACTTTGCCCTTAACCTGGCCATTTTTCGGATTATTAATTTGGATAATATAATTGTAGAACCTGAGGAGAATTTATCGTAAAGAATATAGTGTTTCATAGAGGCAGAGTTTTATTTTCGACTTGCCTTTAACACTGTAAAACTTCAAACTAAAAGTTTTGACAATCATTTAAAGTAATGTTCATATTATGGATTTCAAAGGTTATCAGGGCATGGTGATGAGTTAGCTCACAGAGTACATATCTATGTACGTAGGTGGATCTCAGCTACATTACTTAAGTTAGGGACAGTGATACTACTAGCTTATTAAAACCACAGTACATTAGGCTGGGCACAAACTTTAAATAGTGGTTGGAATTCGATTATTTTATTAACCACGAGGATAACGCACATTTACCAATGAGTAATTCATAACTAAGATAAAATCCCTATTCAAGTATTTACTTTCTAGTTATTGCTAGGTTCTGTAATTTGTCCTATCTTCAAGATGTTTATTATATTGGACAGATAGAATAAGTAGATTTTTTCTATTTTGTTTCTTTCCATTTTTGATGAAGGATGATAACGTGTACACATTCTCGTATTCCAATAAACTTATAATCATTATAAACGAGTATGTGAATACAAGATCTAAGATTTTAACTGTCCACTCAGTTACCACATCAACAGATTTTTATCACTAAGATCAAGTATATAACTAACTTCATATCGATCACAACAAATAAACATCGTTCGAATAGATATCTAAACAATTTCGGTCGATTTTATTCTTCTGTGGACAATAATTTTGTCATGTGATAATCGATCAATACCGAAATTAGATTACGTGGGTCGCGTGAAACTTAATAATTAGATCAATTATCATTCAAAAAAGTTTGTTTATTCTTAAACCATTATGTTTTAATATGGTAAACGAATTATTCAGAAATTTGAAATAATTGCTGAAATTTTTTACATGTTAATTCTAGGAAGAGAATTACTTTGAAATACGAAATGATAGTGAAGCAATTTGAATTGTTGAGGTTTTTTTTATAAGAATACAGTATTGAAACTAAGCTGCTTTGAAAACGGAGATGGTGTTTAATTCTATCACTTTAATAAATACCTTCAGTATGATAAACCATTATGTAGAAGCTAATAATTGAACCTTAACTATGAACTGCATCTTGGTTGAGATCATTCTGAAGAATAAACCTGTAATATCAGTTCATAGTAAAAAAAAACATTTAAAACTATCCTTACATAACGTCTAACCAAATATGCTTGATTTGACCACACAAACAAATTGTTAGAAATAAAAATAAAGTGTTTGATATGTCAAAGATTTGAAAACAGGAAATCTACCTTCATAGTATTCCAAACATATCTAATCATACAACATATTCACATTAATCTAATCCTGTAAAGATTATGGGTCACTCACTGTTTTCACTCAGTTAAATAATAAAAAAAGTTTAAACAATGTACAGAAGAAAGAAATATTTTCAGTGCGCCAGACGTAATCGATTCACAAGAAATTTCAAACTGCAATGTTATACACAGTATTTACTAGTTTCGTTACACTTGCAGTTAAAGTAATACTGAACTCCTCCATCAGTCAGTTATGAATAAATTTTAGTCAGCAATAAAGCCCATAAAGACCAAAAATGTATACACATCAGCTCAAGTTAGCAAACTTTACTTCAATATAGTGCGAAAATAATTAACAAGAAAAATAGAGAAGTAGAAATACAACAACACTAGTAGTGGCAATTTAAACATCGCACATATAGTTTAAATGGAACAAATAAAGCCGGCCTTGTTCGACTATTGAAGTCGTTCATTGTTGGGCCGAGTCAGTAGTTTCATAATTGACCGAATGAAAATCCAGGGTGTTCCCAGCTGTTGTGGGTCGCTATGATAGATCAAGTTGCTCAGAGAATCGGCGAATGCTCTTAACGAGATTCATTAACAATACGTCCTACATTTTTTTAAACTGATAGGTTCTTTAAAGGATAATATACCACTCTGCAATCACATTATTTCTATAATCACATTTAATCTAACTGATAATCAATAATCTATACGTAGTTGATTTTATGATCACCATTATCGGTGCCTTTCGATTACTTGCTAATTCAACCTATTGGAATGTAAACTCATCAAGGACTGAAGCATTTTTTAAAATTTTATTTCGAATATTTCGTACGTGACTTCTGAGCAGTTCTTATCTTACAATGTGAATCTTTCGCACACTTATGTTAGACAATTCCAATCACTTTGCTATAGGAAGACGGCTGGAACTGCAGTTTTTATAATCCATTGGTATGAGATACAAATTATATGTTTTCTTAAAATCCACTGACCAGAGACAATATATAGTGAATGAAATTTCTTCTCACTTGGGCATACACACATGTTATCCTAACACTTTTCACTTCATACCGCATGTCTCTCACACACTAATGCAAATACCTACTCTAAACATTGTTAACGTTGATTGGATGATCTATTCAGTATACAGTGAACCGGAGAACCATGCACCTATTTATATTCGATAATTTTGATTATAACTCCTTGAAAAAGCTTGTACCCCACATTCAGGAATCGAACCCGGTACCTTCGATATCATGTGAGAACGTTTAACTTTTAGACCACTGAGCTGGACTCTCAAGTCATTAATGCCTAACTCCAACGCTTATCTATTGCCTGTGGTGGAAAACTGCATCATACCAGACATAGTCAAAGTCCACTCCTCCATGTTTTTTGTCCATTCATTCACTTTGTCTTAGAGAGAGAGGGAACTTTTGTTACTTCAATTATTCGTGTTTACCACTGTGAATATATAATGTCTATCCCATATTTCTTCACACCATTCAAAACACTTCGCTCAGTTCAATTGTGAGAACAGAAAATGACTCGACTGAATTCAATGAATTATTATTACCTCGTTTTAATTGTTACGCTTGTTGTAATCAAAGTTATGGAAAAAAATTAACAGAAAAATAATAACACATAAACAAGCAGTTAGTGAACATCTATAAAATAAATTGAATCCCTATTATTCTACTTCTATTATTATTGTTCTTTGTCTGTTCAATAAAACACATTATAGGGTTCATGTTTAATAAAATAAAAAATGTGCTTTGTTCACCGAAATAAATTGTGTATATGACAGAGTTTACGTATAGGCTGTATAATTTACCCATAACTTAACACTGCATTCTTCAGATTACTTGATATTTAGTTCCACCAACTAAATTGAATGTTTGTTTAATGAATTTGTGTATAAAGTGAGAGAAAATAAGCTACAGAAAAACCATATTTCTAATTTCTTTTAATAATCGTGGGCATAAAATGAAAAAGCCCATTTTGACGTTGTGTTTTCTGATCTACCTTGAGGCTTAAGAGAATATATGTAAAATAAACTTTGCTTTGAAAAAGAGTTGATTTAGACTGTGCAACATAAGCTATATAAATCAATAATAATTTAAAATAAACATTTGGGATATTAACTAAAGACATAAGACTTGAGTTGATTAAGAGAATAAATAAAATGTATAGTTTCTTTGTTTATTTCAACAAATTAATAGCGGTACAAAGAAGCACCAAATACATATGCGCCACACAATAACAATGACGTTGTGAAGAGATAGAGAAAGTAGTGTGAGTATAGCAAAAAGGGCAACAATGAATAGAAGTTAGTGAATGAGAGTGAAATAGTAATAATAATGGGTGAAGCAGTTCAGTTAGCAAAAGTCTGACCAGAAAAGATTCTTTCACTTAAAGAAGTTACACTCATTTTTTATGAAGTAAAAGAAAGTTACCGCAGAATCACCACTGGCTTCTGTTCTAAGCCAATATCTGATAGTGTCTTTAACCACTATGTTGCACCATCTCTAGGACCCCAAACAAGGAGTCGTGAAGAACCAACAGAAACCAGTCCTGTATAGCTTTCTTTCGTACCATGACATCATGTCATGCAATGACTACCTCCCCACTTTTTCCAACCAGATCCAGTGTCGGCAAATAAAGCACAACGTAGAATTCTCTGAGACGATATTCGTAGGACATATCCATGTCACTGAAGTTGGTGTTTTGAGATGATAACATCAGTTGAGTTATCCTTCCCGATCCCGAACACACGTTGCTGAAATTCTGCATTGTTAACATGGTGTGACCACTGGAAATTATTAATCCTTCAAAGAAAACGACGATTACATATAGAGTCGTCTAACAACCTCGACTCGAAAGGTCATGTTTCACAAGCATATAGCAAACCTGCTCTGACCGATGCGTTGTAGATCCGACCGTTTACAGAATGTCTGTCGAACACACTTTCTGTAGAACAGTTAATCGTTGGTAAAACTCATCCTTGATCGCATCCGGGCTGAAATCTGCCGGGGTATAGGTAGAGATGACAAAAAGACATCGTTTCTCATATAGGACTCTTCTCACTTTGATGAGGCATTCTAATCTAACAGCACATAACTGGATATTAATAGAAATCCAGTAGATTAGCGTTACCGTGACTCTAGAGCTTAGCGTGACACCAACGCCAGCAAAACCAAAAGAAAATAGTGCGAGATCCGCGGATAAACGTACACAAAACAAGCTTTCGAAGCAACAGGTGGAGTGAATTTTTAGCACTTCATTAGAGTCTTGAATACGGGTCTCGGACAGACAACAGACCTAAACACTATAACTTTTTCAAAGAAATAGTCAACCCTATCTGTCGTTCGATCTGCATTATTGTGCGAACGTTAAAGAAGGCCAGTTTGAATGACATACGTAGTTTCGTAAAAGTTGATTCAGAATTCACATTCGGTGGCAGCATTTAACTTTCGGCCAGTCTGTCGTTTGAAGAAGCGCTGGAAGTGGATAGGACACACATTGATGAAAGCACCCAACTGCGTCATAATGCAAGCCCTCACATGGAGTCCTCAAGGTCAAAGGAAAAGAGGAAGAACAAAGAACACATTACGCCGAGAAATGGAGACAGACATGAGAAAAATAAACAAAAATTGGCAGAACTGGAAAGGACAGAGTGGGTCGGAGAATGCTGACCGGCGGCCTATGCTCCATTGGGAGTAACAGGTGCAAGTAAGTCCTTTGAGATCATTTACATAGGACAGGGTTTCCATCAAGGGTGAACTGCTGTAGGAGTTGAAGAGTAAAGGAATATACAAAAAGGGAATAAAAGAATAGACAAGTGACGCAATATAAAATAAAACCAATATTAAAAATAGTTTTGAGTATGATTTGCGAGAGTGAGAATTAAAGTGCGAATAGTTTTTCTAATTGTAGTCATTATTTAGTTTGTGTGGGCTGAGCTGGAGATGTAGTCCCAACGATAGGTTTATACGCCACTTGTTCCCTCAAAATCCAGGAGTTCATGTGCACCATTGGTCTGGGATAAAGGTTTTCCAACTCCCCTAGTTGGACTCTCCGTGTCCACCAACCCAGTTAAAGCGCCTGACATTCACTTTTCATCCTCTCAATTTCGTAAATGACACCCATTCCGAGAGAAGGCAGTGGGTAGGACTTCCTCGGCATTGTGTATATATGCATGATCACATGAGAGTATTTCAAGAGCTGATTCTCCCCACTCTCATTCGTACTAGGGTATTTCGGAATTATTCAGACAAAATTTATAACACAATGGGTCAAACATTCAACTTTGCGTTAATACCTTAAGTACTCAACATTTATGGAACTTCGAATACTCGGTTGCTAATAGTTTGCACTCTAATAATACGTCATAAAATGTTAGGAGCTAAAATATTTTGTGAATCGATCACATTAACTAGAATAAGATTTTTAATATAAAAATTGATTCATTGGCTACACTTTTAAAAACTAATCACAACAGTTCTGAGATGATACAATAAATACACCAACCTAAAAATAACTATGCTGTGCGAATCTTGATAACGTTATAACTATGTAGTTAAGGGGTTTCAACCTACAAACCGATAACTGAAAGTTGAAAGATTAGATACCTGAATAATTAGTTCCACATAAACTATGTCGATCTCGATCATAAATCCCTGTAAGTATTCACTAGTACAAAACTAATGTTTAATGTTTCCACTAGTGATTGACATTAAATGAACGGTAATGAAAAGGGAATGTATTCCCAAGATAATTAAAGTATCATGTGGTTTAATCACATGCTGTAATTGTGGGAAATACAATAATAAAATGAAGCGCATGTTAATTAAATATACAGGACAGAAAACATTTGGTAGCAATGTAGAAGAAATAAATAGTTATTTATTCTTTGCGAATGTAAACAAACTCCAGTTTTATGTCAACAAGTTTAATTTTACTTATTAATCTAAGTTGCCAGATTAACAAAACATTCATTATTAAATTGATTAAGGAGAGATAATTTATTTTCAATGTTTAGGGTGAAAACCACAATTATCGTTAAAGTGAAGTGGGTAAAGTGAAGAGATAATATCCTAATGACAAGTATATGATCTAATATGTAAGCATAAGAGGCTAAGTGTTATTTAAATTTATAAGTGGACAACCTATACTAGCTGAGAGTTCAAAACAGACGTAAATAAAATCAAGCCTTCAATTAGATGACTAAAGGCTAGATATGAAGAGCGAAAGTTATTGGCGCTGACAAGACACGAGAGATCAATAATAATAGTCGTTGAGATAATTTTATGGTTCAGCTGAATGAAAAAAACAACTAACCCAACTGAAACGCTCTATCAAGTTTAATAAATAAGCGAAACTGAACATCACATACAGATTCATGTGCTAAAGCTTCTAAATACAACAGGTCAATGAGGGGCACTTTAGCTGTTATAAAGCACTAGACTTTCGGCCACTAAATCGCAGATTCGAATAACCTTCCATCTACTTCGGTTCGGGCAACCGGATATAATCACTAGTCTTAACAATTAATATGGCTTACAAACAAGCACAAGAATCTGTACATGGCAAATTGGTTAATATGAAAAAGTAATAATAAATACTACTTATTTAGAACGAAGGTAGAATAAGTGATATGTCAACAACTTTTTGGTTCATAGTTATATATCTGAACAACTTTAAACTTTCATCTACACCGATTCCGGATAAAATAAACTACAATTCAAAAACCCACCTGGATGTAGAAAACCATCAGAATCAGGAAGAACATTTGTAGAAAAACGATTATTCTCACTATTACACATTCGTTTCCTTTGACTATAACTACATCGTTTTTTGAAACGTGAATACCTTGAAAGTGAATGTGAGTAATTTTTAAAAACTTGAGAATTTGATAAATATCTATTGTATAGAAAGTGGTGACCAAGAGAATTTTCTAAATGTTTTTCTGGCATTGGTGAAAACATTTGCGCATATGATTCAGAACATGTCATAACTGATTGTTCTAACCCTGAATCCAAATTTGATGAATGAGGATCACAAATTTCACTTGGTATTTTTAAATTAGAATAATGAGAACTATCAAGTGTTCCATGTGAACTGAACAAATAACCAGAAACACCACGGATAGGATAGTAATCATTTGGATGAGTAGATGATTGTGTCATTCTACCATGTGATGACCAATAATCATCATCTGTCCCTTTATATTCATTATCATCACTGCCATTGTCATCTAAATCAACATCACCATCATCATTTAGTAAAGCTTCTGCTTCAACATCACTTAAGCCAAACTCAGAACAACAATCAGATGTGTTTGATGAAAAATTATCATCTAAATTATCTCTTAAATACCACATATAATCTAAATTATCTTCCGCTTGATCCAACTGAATTTGATTAGCTTGTAGTTTATACAATAAACGATCAAGTGTAACACCTAGTTTGTTTAATTCATCTGTGAGCACAACAGTTTTTTGTGTAAGATCAGTGAATTTTATTGCATCAGAGTTACTCCTAGGTAATAAGTTATTAGGATTTTTATTAATTCCTGGTGATGATGACGGTGATGAGAATGATATTAATACGTCATCAGGTGCATTTGTAATATATGTACTTTTGTTTAAGTCTGATGAAATTTCACTTGATTGACCTTGAAAATAATTATCAGACTTAGTGTTAAGAAGAGAAGACAATGTGTCGAGTTGTCGAAGAATATTGTCGTCCATATCTTCATTGTCCTCATCAATGAGATCATCATCACCATCATCTTCATCATTGTTATCACCATGATTATGTTTTATAGTCATTTGATTTTTGTTAATGTTTCTCATTACTTCATCTTTAGTTGTATAGATAGAAATAATATCATCGTACTCAAAACCTTCATTATCGTCAATATTTAAACATGACAAAGAAGCAGATGAATTTGAACTGGAATGAAAACGTGAACGATGATATACAGGTGGATTAGTAGTAGTTCGAGTAGTATAATCATCTTCCTTCACCAAATATTTACAAGATTTACTTATTTTTCTATCTAACACAGCATCACTATGTACACGATGAATTAAAGATCGTGATGGTGATTTTCTAACTGGTGAGCTATTTAACCAATCAACTTGTCTAGGATTAAGAATTTCGATAACTTTTGACAATAACTGATCTGTAGATATAGTGGTAATAGGATCTACTATAAAATCTTTATCAGATGATTTGATATTCATAGAAGTTTGATCAGTAATCTCATTTTTCATACTTGGAAATAATATGTTATCAATAGATATGGAAAGAGATTTTGAATTGTTATTTTGTTTATTATCACATAAAATGGTTTTCTTGAAATTTATGTCGAATGAACTCATTAATTTTGATTGAAGCAAGTAATTAAATTGACCTGATTTTGTAGGATTGAACTCTGTCTCATTATACTCTAAGAGCAGACAGTCAGAAATCGGGGCCATGTTGACAGTGGATGTTACTGAAGGTGTAGGAGCTGTAATAGACTCACTATCTGTAAGGAAAACATGAGACAATAATTTTACGATATTTTTAGACAATTATGACTGATAGAAATGAATACTAATAAAAAGGTGGAAAATTGTGATTCTTTATAAGTGGATCATGGGTCTAAAATGACTACATCTAGTTCACTTCTACATGTTGTGTAGTCGTAGGTCAGTAGACAAAACGTACAATCAATTAATTTATACATGAAATGAGATGAAAATTTCCGTCAGCATTAAATAAATACACTAATCCAAGTTTAGAACCAGTTAGTGTAACAAGATGTTAATAACGAAAGATATCTCAAGACCTAACATAGCTTTTACATATCCCTTGTACAGTCCAGCTACCATGAGATTGAATTGACTTAACATATGAACAAAATATTGGTAATGAACTGCTTGAATTGATCGATAAGCTCACTAGAATATATAGACTAAACATATCACTTGAATGATTCGCAAAACTTTATTATGTAATTTGAAGGCTAGTATTTACATCAGCATTGCTCTTATCAATTTTTTAGACGGGAAAATATAATGATTGCGTTCATTTTATACGTGTTTAAGCACAAAAAGCTGTTCATACAGATAAGAGAATATTTTTATGAAATTTCTGAATGGATTAATGAAGTTAGTCCAGTATTTCGACTTTCAAAATGTAGAAAGTACGACAAATCGGAAGGCAAATAATGTAAGAAACATTTATCAAGTGCATTTAGCCAATCCTATGGAAAATGGTCCAAAAATGATAATAAGTCAGACAAAGATGTGCTTTAATTGTAGACAAGGTTAACTCAAATCCTTTGAAAGGTGTGTACGCAGTTGACGCTTCCCAACACCCAATGTCATGGAAGGATAATTCTTTCATCACTGAACATTAATAAAGTCAGTACCATGACTTCAAAAATTAAGATACAAAAAAAGTATTGTGTTAGCTGCAAAGATAGTATCGAAACGCTTGAGATAAAGCTTCAACACTTCTCTGAAGAAAAAAGTTATGGAGTATATCAATATGGTATTTAATTCCCTACTTACAAGAACCTGAAAGCAAGTATGCTTCAGTTTTTTGTTCAGCGGATTGTTTCATTTAACGATGTCACTGATTGGCTATATCACACTGAGGGAAGGAATACCTAAACTTCTATAAATTTTGTGAAACTGGGTGATGAGTATTAACCTTCACTTACTATCATCAGTAAGTTATGTAATAACTTGTACGGTTTGCCGTCTGACATACCAAATCAGAGCGAGTAAAACATATCGCTTCTTACTTTAGATTTAGAAAAATATGAGAAATTAGTTAAAACATTACAATTCTAATTATTAAAGTTCAATTTGTGCTGATAATTTAATCTAAAAATTAACAGTTCAGTAAGTTAACTCTTATCACTCTCACAGAATCAATTAATTCTTACTTACCTACACATAACTAACAATGGATGACAGTGTTCAAATAATCTAAATTAGGTCAACAGACAATATGTCTTCTTCCCCTTAAAATAGTTGTTTCTATCATGTATAGAATTAAACACATCGGATGGAATAATTTCATATTATTGAAATCAAAAATATACAATGACAAACAGTTCACGGATGATCATTCAGCTATATAAAACAAATTATATAACACTACAAATAAATAAAATATAATAATCGTTTGGTCACAAGTGTTGAATGGACACATATGAAAATGACGGTAAACCATGAGACATATTGGTTGAACATTACTTGACAACACTTTACAAACAAGCAATATAAAATATTAAATCGTCCCAGTGAATTTCTGTATTATAGACCAAATAAACATAGCCGGAATGACCTGGTATAGGAGAGATTGTTGAAAAACTGTTCTTTTCTCTCGAAACGCTCTTATACGGTCACACGTTTGTATCCTCTAGCATAGAAATGTTACTCACTGCTTTCGCATGGTAGTACTTTCACGAACGTGCAATAATGAAATGGGAATGTTCGGAGGGTAAACTTGGTTGGTTGATGCAGAGGGTTCACTTGGGGCAGTCAGAAAGCCCATGATATAAATAGGCTGCAGGATCCTGAGAGAACGAATGGAGTATGGACTTATTTTTGGTCACCTACTACCATGTGGTGACATCTCTTGACGTTGTTCTACTGCCTTGTGGATCAGGCCTCTAAGTCAAGAGACTTGGGAGTTGCCTCCTGAGAAAATTACCAGCTCTGATCTGGGCACTCGGGCAGAACCCCAGCCTATTCACAAGTGTGACAACTAATAATTATAGAGAAACAGTTCTATTCGCTTTTCCTTCATACCTACTCAAACGATGCTTGCAATCACATTATGATAAATAAATTTATTTTACTTTAATTCAAGTTGTTCCATTTTGTGTACATCTTCATTTTTCACTCAATAGCCAGTTTCTGTAGAAAGTTCTATTTTGCCTAAAAGGTCTTACGTAAAGACAGGACAACAGATAAGTTTGGTTGTCCATGGAAAGTCACGATATTGGTTAGGTTAAATATACGTGACGCGCATTCAAGATTCTAATGAAGTATTAAAACTTCGTTCTCCATCTGTTGATTTGAAATGCATGTTTCACGTATGTTTATTTCCGCACAATGTAATATCTTCATCCGGTTTTACTTGCGTAGGTGTTGCAGGAAAAGCACTAATTTGTTGAATCCTCAATAATAAACGTTAGTGTCCAATTAAATTAGAAGGGTCTATTGAAGTGAGAAATACATGCGGCAAACGATCTGAAGAAAGACCGTCCGGGAGATGCAGCATTAGCCAGAGATTTGAATGTATAAGTCTGACGTCTTTGAAAAGAGGGAAGTCACTTAGATGTCCAAACGGGTTTGATGGTCTCAGAACAGATAGGGGTGACCGTTCTTTGTAACTGTGCAGATCACTATCTGCTCCTAGCTACTACCAAATTCTGATAAACTTATCACCAATATACTAATTGGCCTTCTTCATCTGCAACACCAGACTGAATTTCAGATTGATCACATCATGATTAGCTACCGCTAATATGGATATGCACAAGACTTCTTTTCCTTTTGAAACACCTATCTGGACTCTGATAATGACCTATTTGGCCCCAAGCTTACCTTGCATTTGTGGCCAATAGACGTTGTTATATCCGAAGGTTAAATTATTGGTAACTTCCAGAAACCATCTATAGACTTATTATATTTTTTGTTTCGCTTATCATAAGATTTCATTTGACCCATTGGCTGCTGTTATGCGATTTATCATTCTTAATCTAGCCCCGATCTATTAGTTACAGTCTCTCTCACACACTTTTGGTTTGATCTTGTGTAATTATTATTTTTCATTTTATGGTGTGATAAGGTCTGGTCTGCTTATATATAAACTACGTATGCTTGAAATATATTATTCATACAGCGAAGGCTGATTTTGCATTCTGGACTCAACGGGAGGGGCTAGGAGAGAAGCTACTGCATTAGGGACCAATAACGATTCAGAAAAGATACACGGCTTCTGGTGTTGTTTTGATGTATCATTGGTTTAGCACGGGAACAAAGTCATAGAAGTCGATATTCGGATTGGCGACTTCGTCACATAACAATCGACAGGGATATAAGTCATAAAAAACGTCTTGTTCTAAACAAACGGATATAAGCAGATCGGCTGCAGCTTCACTTACAACCAAATATCAAACTGAGTTAGGTTCAAGGCTAGCTAACAGTCCACCGGTAAGTAGAAATCATTACCATCTGAGTTTGCACAACACCATGGAAATGACGAGTTAAGTGACTTCTGGTCTCTGTAAATGTCCAAATTACAAGCACCGGGTTTATATAAGCTTCCCACAACCCCTCAAAGCATATCAGTCTACTCCGAAGAATCGCTATTTTGAAGATACACGTTGATCAGGATATTTCACAAAGTTTCGGCAAGGACTGAAGAACCTGGTGGTTGGAAAGTGCTAATGGGCTGGAGGAAACAGCTGAATCCTGAGAGTTGTTTCAACTCATCTAAGCAACTGGTAACTAGAAGTATGTTGTCGATCAAACAGTCCGTGAAGTTGATAGCACGTCAATTAGTAACATTAAAATGGTCTTGGATGATGGACTGAGATTTTCGAATAACAGTTCAGCTAGCCTATTGCCCTAGCAGCGTCAATTAAATTTTCCTGTGCTCCCAAGTCCACGACTACCGATCCACTTCGCCAAGTGGTCTAGAAAGAACTCGAACTTCTGTAACCCCACAAGCCATCAAACATGAACGACCGCCTCCCTTTTGAGGATGGTGGCGAATTTCTGGTCAGAAAAATGATTGAGTTGATGAGACGGTGTCAGGTCCTAGGTCCGTTTACTTATCTCAATCTAAATTAAGGCCTTGACACGATGGACTAGTCGGTTTAACCTTGATGCTTGAAATGCGTGACGAAATTAGAGAGGTAATTCTCGGAGTTCTAGTGAGAAGCCGTGACCGGTGTAGCCAATCTGTGTCGGGTGTGAGGCAATTAGTAGTTTAGAGGTTAGGCGTTCGCGTGTGAGACCGAATGTCCTGGGTTCGAATCCCACATTTGGAATCGTGGATGCACACTGCTGAAGAGTCCCATACAGGGACTAAATGGCTGTCCATTGCTTCCAGGTTTTCAATTGTGGCCTAACATTGATTGATTCATGCTTTCAGCCAACAGTCAACAACCTCCACAACCATTTACTGATAAATTACAATAGCTTTGCTACAGAAAAGGTATGGTAGTTGAACAAAAATTAAACGAAAGCTTATGGTTTACAAAATAAACTAGTGACAAAACTAAATGTTAGCATTTTAAAAAATTTGAATCAAGGAAAACAGCTTCCGTTGTTTGTCATGACTTTTTTATATCTCTGTCCACACAAGAATGGTTTGGAAAATAGAGGTTTTTAACATCTCTAGATGAAACAGGTACTATTCTGACAGAAGTGGGTAAATCTCCAACTTATGTTACCTTCAATAATGTTTACTAATTTATTTGTACTTTTCAGAGCACTTACACAGAAAGAAAAGGAA